GAGGAGAGAGAGAGAGAGAGAGAGAGAGAGGGGCGATTGGTTAGAGGCGACCGGAAACGAAACGGCCCACCCAACGAACGAATACACCGCGTGGTTAGCGGGGATAAATCTGCAGAAATTCGTGTCTCTTTCTCTTCCTCCTCCTGCTGCGAGGCTCTGTTCCCCGCTTAATTACACAACGACACTCGGCTTATCCGACGAATAATCTCTCGTAACAGCTCGGCCTGTTCTCTCGTGGACCGGCCAACCTCGGTGGTACGTGGCGTGCGGTTGTCAACGACCGTTTCACAGTCGGGGGAGGAGAAAAAAAGAAGACGAAAAAGCGGGTGGGACGCGTCTAATATTTTTCAACGACCGTATTTGGCGCGATACACCTCGTATAAATTAAAATCCCCGTTGTCGTCCTCGCAAAAACTCTGCCTCTGCTTTTAGCCGACAATGAGCTAATCGCCGAGTATTGTATCGTAATTTTCGCATCAAGTTGTTCCGTTCTATTCCAGGGATTAATTTTGAAATTTGGATTGTTGCGAGAATTCGGGAGGAATTGGAAAGGAAAGTTGGAAGTTGAAGAGATGCTGTTGATCTTAAACTTGTATTAATTATAGTGTATAATACAAGGTTATACAAAGACTGTTCTCGATTATTTCGAAGAAGGCTAGGTTTCGAGAGGAGGATGAGAGAGACGGCTGTGAAAAATTGTTAGCAGGGACGAGTTCTTTCGCAATGAGTCACAAAGAGAGTTTCGACTCTATCTCATCTCAATGTACTAAGAGAAGCATTATCTCGAGTTTGAGGATTAATAGGATTAAAAGGTCTGAATATTTGTAGCTCTTGTATATTAGAAAATATTGATGCGGGCTTGTGGATCTTCGTGAACGGAACAAAGGCGTTCTTACATACACGCTCAAGCTTCTTATCTTCCGCAATTAATATCAAACGCAACAGATATTCTCAATGTAAGTATACTTAACGTTTGTATAAAGATCACAGGAGAAGAACTTTGATAAGTCTATTTTGACTTGGTCGAAACCAAGTGCTTTAACCTCTCCCCCTTTCATCTACAAACGTACATAGCTTAACGAGGAAGAGAGGAGGATCGAAAAAGAAAGAAATCATACATTGAAATTTTAAATCCTCTTTTTAAACGTTTACAGATTTTAAATACGCGTATGTAGACAATCAATCGATCATTGATCGGTCACATTTCAATAGTTGAGAAATATTCTGTAAATTTATCGAGAAGCATTTAAATTTCAATTTTACAACATCTCGAAACGTTTATTTTTAATTTATATCGTTATAAATTATCAATTTTCTTTTTCGTAAATAATTAAACTTAGATAATTATTTCACATTAGAAATTCACGCGATGTACCGATTTGTCAATGACTTTTTATCGATCACGTTCCACATCGTTCGTCCGCGATAAGAATCGAAACTTAGAAACGTAGAAAACATTCTACTTCTTTTTTCTTCCACTTACCAAAACTTTCGTTTCGCATCTTGGAAAATCCTCTCGTTCGGACCACCCGTCGCGTATATATCCGTCTAATTAAACCGTCAGACAGGTTATCCGTCACGATCTTTGCCGGGGCCATCAACACGGCTTCTGTTCGGCGGACGAAGAGGCGCGGAAAACATTAACATAAAATGGGCGTTGGTGGTGCGCCACGCCCTGCCAATCTCTGCTCCAGTCCCGGCTTGGAATTTGTCCACGGGCGAAAGTGCCGCTAAAACGGATTTGGAACCGAATTTTTCTTCCTTTTCTTCCTCTTTTAAACGAAGAACGAGAGAGAGAGAGAGAGAGATCTCGGATGGAAACGTCTTTCGGGCGGAGGCGTGGGCGCGCAGAATAAATATCGAGATTACTTATTTTTCTTTCTGTTCAGCGGTGGACGAGTCGACGGCTCGTAAATGCCGTCGTATTTTCGCCGTTGTCGCCTTTCGTTCCCGCGGCGCGCCTCAACTTTTCTCGGAACGAGATGGAAATTTGTGGCGTCCCTTTTCGCGGATCTCGATTAAACGAGAGGCGGCTTTGATCGAGCGCTCGTTCGATCGGTCGATGCGGATTTATACACCATCGCGTTATCGAATCGTTTAACGCGAGCAAGCCTTCTTCTTCCTCCTTCCTTCCCGCTTTGAGGCAAGGCAAGGAAACGGAGCTTATCTTATCTATCGTTTCGCGATGCGTACTTTGCCGGTCGGCGAAACACAAACGTAACTTCTCCTCTCCGCTCTGGCTTCTTCTTTTATTCTGCTTATTAAATTTATCCTCGAACGTTGAAATATCTTTATTTCCTCGAGTAATATCTTTTCCTACGCGCGCAAAGAAAATTTAAAAGTTGTCGACGGGAAATCGTACTCGGCGGGGACGTAAACACGCGTGTTCCTTTTATCGGTTATAATAAATTTATCGTGTATAATAGGTTGAGGTCTTCCAGAATACTCGAGATACCTATCTTAATTTCAAAAAAAAGAAGAAGAAGAAAAATTCGACTATTCGCCAATCTTGGAATAGCGTGGAACGAAAACTTGTATCGAATATAAACTGTGAAGGGCTGTCCTCGAAATATCTTTATTATCCTCTAATAATTTCGCGGGAATAAGAAGAAAAAAAGATTTCGACCATTTAGCTCGTGATCTCGCGATAGAAATAAAATCATCGTTATTTACCCACGCCACTTTTCAACGAGGCGCAAAAACGTCCGGTTTAACTAAAATATCACCGACCCCTCTCTCCTCTTTTTCTTCTCCCCGTATCGTTGAATCAGACTTCTTTCAGAAGCGTTCCGTTTACAGCCGCGTATTTCGGCCCCTTAACGAGCGCGCCGCGCTCATTAAGCCGGCTGTAACGAAGCCGAAGCGAAACGTTGTGTCCACCGGCGCGACGCCAGCCGGAATTTCACGCGTGTCGGCTCATTGTATTTCGCTTCGATGCGGCAAACATCAGGGAATAACGAGCGCGAATAAAACGGTGTCAACTAATTACCGGACACCGCGGACGGCCATCATCTTTTAATCATCGCGTTTCCTTCCTCGACCGCCGCGAACAATCGGAAAACTGCATTCGTTGCAGGAAAAACTCGACACCGTTGGACGTTTCCTGTTTCGAGAATATGTCGCTGCGTCTGCTGTTTCGAGTTTTTATCGTCGAGGTTCAACAGTGCGATTCCTTTTCCTTTCTCTTCTTTTTTTTAATTATTTTAACGAACCCAGTGCGCGTTGTTTTTTTTTTTTTTTTTCTTCTCTCGACAATTTCGAAAATGGATCGAGAGAATTGCTTCTTCCCGCACGAGGAAAATATTTCCCTCGAATCTTAAAATTTCTTTATTTCTCGCGCAATCTGAAACAATCGAGCTCCAAAAATCTCTCGAGTTGGAAATTCTTTTGAGAAAGAAAATTTATTTCTTCAAACGTTAAAATCTTCTTATTTTTCTGTTAACAAGAGCTCGAAAATGCCAATTTGAAAATTCTTCACTTCAAGAGTTTACCAGGTAACAACGCACGTTGGAGAGAAAAACCCCTCTCGGGTTAGAAATTCTTTGGAGAGATGGGTCGAAGCGGTTCGAGGAACGTCGGTAGAAATGTCGTGGGCGTTGCTGGCCGCCGCGATTTCTCGTTTCACGCGTTCTCAGAGGGAACAAGGCGCGTTCTATTCCGCGCGGGCCGTTGTATATCGCGGTTGGGGATCGAGAAATTCCCGGTGCAGCATCGTCGAGGGTCGTCCCTTTCGAAACAAAGGACCTCTTATTTTCCACTTAACGGCTTGACAGCGCCACTCGACTCCTCCACGAGATTCTCACGTATGCCCGCTTACACCGTGCCTCGTCCTGACCCCGACAGGTGTATTACGCACATTATGCTCGAATCGTCTCATTATCGATACGATCGCCGATAGTTTATGGTATTTTAATGATACCGCCCCGAGAGAAACCGAATCGTAATTCCAAGTATATACGTGGATCCCTCCCTCCCTCCCCCTGGTGCCTCGTATGAATTATTCAAAAGATGTAACCTCGAGCGAGTTTCGCGTCAGGTGTTAATAACGATCCTTCAAGGTTGATAAGGACATATATCGAAATTTTCACGGATGATTTGACTGGCTACCTTTAATTATCGTTCGTGACGCGAGGGCTGAACTTTTGTGCAGCCTCTATTAACACGTTCGTCGCCCATATTTGACGTTGACGTCTTCTTGTTCGAGAAAAATAAGATTTTTAATCCTTTGCACTCGTATTTACTAATGCAAATAGATGTATATGTAATAATAAAATGTGGGATAGCGATTGTATGGCGACATACGAGTGCAAAGGAAGTGGAATTTTAAAAGAAATTTAATGGAATAAACATTAGAAATATAGATATAAAATATGTACATTGGAATCGAAGAATTTAAAATTTAAGAACGATAGAAACAGAAAAGAGGGAAAAATTATACGCTGTGTGATAACGTAACAGGTTGTTACGAATTTTCACCGATAATACAGAAGTATGAGTTGAAGTTGGACAGCCAATCAGAGGCTTATACTTCAAACTACTTAAGATTGACTTTAGAAAATCTTCGAACGGTTGAAACGAACGAAGTAGGAAGCGAGGAAATAGAAGTAGAGAACAAGTGATTCAAAATCAAAAGAGGTTACAGGTGGTTAATGAAAACTAATAACCCCAACGAAATTTTATTTTAAACTATACAAATAAAATATTAAAACTACTTCTTTCCGACGGTAAGACATTTGGGTCCCGAGATGAGAAACTCGACCGAATCACTGGCTGGCCGACGAACGTGTTTAAAGAACGGTAATCGCAGTGATTTAAATTTATCGGATTAGAGAGATTTATTTCAAATTAGATTTAGAGATTTCACGTTCCAATTCGGGCGAATAAAACTCCCGAGAACCAATAACCATTCCCATCTCGTGTAAATATAACCGTGGAGACTGATATTTAACCGAGGTGTGAATGGATGGTGTGACAGGTGATCGACGGGAACAAGAACACGTACCTGGAGTCGAAGCACGAGCTGGAGCCACCTATGTGGGCGAGCAAAGTCCGCTTCTGGCCGTACAGCTACCATCGTCGGACCGTTTGCATGCGGGTGGAACTGTACGGTTGCCCGTGGAACGACGGTATCGTGTCGTACTCGATGCCCCAGGGGGACAAACGCGGCAACTGGGAGTTCTTCGACGCGACTTACGACGGTTACTGGGACGGCCAGCTTCTGCGCGGACTGGGACAGTTGACGGACGGCAAGATCGGGCCCGACAACTTCAAGATGAGCTACTACGATTACGACAGGGGTCAGGGTTGGGTCGGGTGGAGGAACGACACCAGGTCCGGCCATCCGCTCGAGATCAAGTTCGAGTTCGACCACGTCAGGGAGTTCTCGGCCGTGCACATATTCTGCAACAATCAGTTCACCAAGGATGTCCAGGTAAGGATACATTTTACGTAAGAAGGTGGATGGGAATATTTAGAAATGAAGTAACAATTTTGCGTGAGACAGAGATAGGAGTATCAAGAAAATAATTATTTCAATTTCCACGTAAAACGTATTCGAAATTGAATAATCTCGGTATTTTCTGGCTAGTGTAATAATCGAAATTGATATATATTATAGATAGAAGATATTCGTACTAAATTCAAGTAAAATTAGAAATTATCGGTCAAATTTTTGATACGTTATAAAAGACGTGGCGGAGGTTGATCGCAGTCGGTGTCGTGATTTCGACGCCTCGGAGGCAAAAGGAGGAGACGGGAAGGGAAACCAGAGCCTTCCCCAACGTTTGCGGGTCGTGATCTTCGTATCCCCACGAACAAGCCCTCCGGGCAGATTTTTGGCCCGGAGAACAGTCACGTATTTACGTTCCACAACATGCAGAGCGAAAGTCACGCTCTCGTCCGTTGCCTCTTCCATATCACGTGATATTCCTCGTTATTTCGTCAAACAATCCTTTCGTTATAATAAACCCTACAATTCCCTCGCGAAGAGAATAAAATCAACAAGAAGGAAGAAGAAGGAAAGAACTCCATCCGCTTTAAATTTTAATATTTTGATTCGTTCTCGATATCGATATCGAGCCCCCTCCCGTGCCCTCCGAATTTCCATCGTAATCCCCTTACCGGCCATCTCTTTGAACGCAAGCCCGGCCGCGTTATTTTCAAATTTCCTCTATGATCGTTCACCGAATATCCGCGAAAACGCGTGAAAAAAAAAGTGGAAGAGGGATAGATAGATGGATGGATAGATGGATGGATAGAGCACGACAGGGAGGAAATTGGAAGGGCCCGCGGCAACGCGAGCAGGACTGCGATACAGAAAGTGTGCACGAAAAAAGGAAAAGAAAAGAAAGAAATAGCGATGAAAACTAGACGACCAGTGGAATACAAGGAGAGAGAAGTACGGGCCGAGGTGGAGATATAGAGGAAAATGAGGACGAGGATGAGAGAGGAGAGGGTAGATGGATGAAGGCGAGGGACGGAGAATCGTGACGAAATACGCGGCAAGATCTGCTGCGCTCTTCTTTAAAGCCTCGCTCGAGAGGATAAAAAGACGAGGAAAAGGCGTGAAATCCAGTTCTCGCGTTCGAGTCAAGGTCGGATGTAGAATGGGTAACGAGGCGCGACAACCAGGGTTGGCTCTGGTCGAGGATGAAAGGGGAAAGAGGAAACGAGGAGGAGCGCGATTTTACACACAGGGTGGTAACAACTGAATTTCTTCTGAACCCGATGGCGGTCGAATTTTCACGTAACAACCCTGTCCTCCGTATTTATTTCAATAGAGACCCTCCTCATTACCCTCGGGCCCATCCACGATCGAGCAGTCGAGAGGGGCGTCTTCTCGACAAACAACCGAGGTTGAAGGGACAAACATGGCAAGAGAAATGGAGAAGGTTAGAACGGCTCTCTTTGGATTTGGACTCGATTCCCAAGTTTGATCGCTCGAAACGCTCGAGCAAAAAAGATAATCGCCCAGAGAGGATATGCTCTCTCGACAACAACGATCTTCGCTCGCATCGAAGGGATCTCGAACATGGACACGAAAATGGAAGTTTTCCGGGGCCGGCGTTGATGGCCGAGGAATAGGCCTCGAAACGCTCTTCTTACCGGTATCAAGATTTATTTGAATGGAGCGGCTCATTACCCGGCTCCGAGGCTCGATTGTGCGCGCGCTAGCGACGAGGTGGCGAAGGTAAAGACGGCGACAGAAGCGTTGCTGGTGCATCGCCACGAAGGGAATCCTCCTCCTCCTCCTCCTCCTCTTCTTCTTCTTCTTCTTCTTCTTCTTCTTCTTGTTCGAGAGAGAAGACGATGAAGGGAAGGAAGTTGAGAAACGGTGGGGACGATCGAGGTGGTGGTTGGGTGTTCTTTCTCTCTCGTACGCACAATGGTATAGCCGAGCAACGAGGCGGAGAGCAGATACGCCACGTATTCAAATACAATACCGACAGTCTGGCAAGTCGGCAGTCTACTCGCTCGAGGTATGAGGGCGAGCAAGGGGTGAGAGATGGTAGCAACCGCCCCTAAACGTCTCCTTCTATTAACAAGCGCCCGCTCGCGCGGATAGGACACGTCTTCTGAAAGACAGCACTTCAAAGCATCGCCAGTTTCACTCTCTCTCTCTCTCTCTCTCTCTCTTCGTCCATCTCTTCCATTCTCTCGCGTTCCTCGAATACACCGTTACTCGACGACTACATCCTTAGTCGGGTTGCGCACCACGGTTTCGTGGCCGCCACGCTCGTCTTCCTCGGCTTCCTCACACTCCCTCACGCTCCCATCTTAGCCTGTTCGTCGACGAGCTGGTTGAACGGTGCTCCCTTGAAAATCCATACGCATCCCCGTCGTTGCGTTCGTCTTTGGGGCTAAGAGAGTTAGATAATCTCAGCTTTGTAATCTCCATTTCCAAGCCCTTCGCGGTATTCTACTCTTCGCCTCCCCTTTCCTCCCTCTGTTCTTCTACTTTCCTCCCTCTCTCCGTCGTCGTCCTGGCTACCTGTTTCCACCCTCACCCTCTCTCCCTTCTTCCTCCCCTCGGCTGGTATTCCGCTTGTGTATTAACTATCTTACGCTTTCTCGGTATGGAATTAGCATTCCACGCGTCTCCGCTCCGCGACAGAGCGGTGGTTCGTAATTATCGATGTCGTCGATGTCAACCGAGCGGTTGGCCCCTTATAAAGTTGCCCGTTATATCCGTGGTGTAAATAAACCACGGATGGTGTGTACTCGTGGAATACATAGCAGAACTTGTGCCGGAACTTGTGCCGCGGAACGAGAGCCTTTAAGATGCTGATTTATACGTATAATTAATGTTGAATATTAGCCACTATGTCATGTTTACCGCGCACAATATAAGCGGCTTCGTTTCACCGTCTGGAACAACGACCTTTGGCTGTACGGCCTGTTTTATATATATTTCGCGGTTAACGCGATTTACGAGTATAGCCCGGCTATACTCGTGATATCCTCCTCGTTTCTCCACTGAATTATGGAATAAGTTTTCGCGATGACGAGAGATTCGTTTATATTTACATCTCGCTCGGAAACGAAATATGCTCGATCACCGACACCGAGCGTTTTATTTCGAGAATAGGAGAAGAGAGGAAAGAAAGAAAGAAAAGAAAAATATGAACGAATTTTCTTTTTTTTTTTTGTCACGATTCTCAGGTGTTCTCCGAGGCTAGCATAATGTTCAGCGTCGGTGGCAAATATTACACGGGCGATCCGATCGTGTACTCGTACATGGAGGACAGGATCTTCGAGCACTCGAGGAACATATCGATCAAGCTTCACCATCGAATCGGCAAGTTCGTTAAGCTGAGGTTCAGCTTCGCCTCGAGGTGGATCATGATCAGCGAGATCACCTTCGACTCTGGTAATTACCATCACGTTTCAAACCCATATTAATCGAAAGTTAGAAGAACAATTAGCACGCGATTTGTATCATTTAAAGAAATATTATACGTTCTCTCGATTGAATTCTTCGATTCCTTTCCAATTTCTTTCTTTCGAAAAAAAATTTTGTTTCGCGCGAACGAATATCTTCTTTTCGTCGCAGATATCGCCCACGGGAATTTCACCCCTGAATCACCGCCCACGACGGAAGCCCCGAGGCTGAGGGATCGAATCTCGGCACGGGACAATCCTTTGCAAGCCGAGGTTCCGGTCGTGAAGCAGGACGATTCGAATTACATGGCGGTGATAATCGGCGTTCTGACAGCGGTGATCCTCTTGCTCGCGGTGGCCATCTTCTTGATCATCACGCGGCACAGGCAACGAAGAACTTCGCAAGCCCACTGGGCACGAAGAGCGCGATCCCCTCGAGCAATCATCAACACCTGTCCCCCGAATCCGCGTACGGCACAACGGAGAAAGATCCATCGTTGATGACGTACAGGGTGGAGGAGTTGGACGACCGATACGCTGGAACCAAGCTGACCACGCTTCCACGAGATCTGAACGATCGCCTGTTGGGGGACGTGAGGCTGGACGAGTATCAGGAGCCGTTCTACGAGAACAAGCACAGGGAGCCGCCTCACGCCGCTTATTACGGGTACAGCACCGTCGTTATAGACAACAAGGACCTTCACGACAACGTTGAGCAGTCTGGTAAGCGTCAACTTCATCATCGTTGACACTCGTCTCGAGTCGCGTCCACTCGATTCGGGAAATTAATGGAATTGCAAATATTTTCGAGTCTTCGATTTTTTTTTTTTTTTCTTCTTTCAATTGCAGATGCCACCTACGATTACGCAGTACCGATGCCTGTGCCTAGTGTGAGCAGCGATCAGGACAGCGTTTTCTCCAAGTCCTCGTCGAGGGGTAGCGCGAAGGTAAATGCGCGATCTTAACATTTTGTATATCGGATACTTTATATCGCGAATGGTTTAAGACAGAGCGTGAAGTACATCATTTTTTTATATCATATATATCGTTCGAGAAGTTCATCGAAACGTTTCGTTTCGTGATTGTAGAAGATCTTTCTCCCTTCCGCATCATTTCTTTCGATCTGTTCGGTCGCGCACATTTTCTTGTTCCGCTAATACCCATGAAAAAGAAGTGGGTCAGATCTATTCCCAAGCATCTTCTCGTTCGTTTCCAGTGCATCTTACGCGGTATATCTCGGTGGCTAGAAGTCGAGATATTCCCTCGAAACAAAAGGAGATTTGAAGCTCTCGAGTTTTCTCAAACTCGCGAGTTCTCCCCGTATCTTTGAGTTACGATCCTCCTCACTTACGAATCTCACTATTCGATACTTTCCCATTCAAAAATTTACAACAAACCCGAAAATTGTTCTTCGCTTAAATGTAACAATTCATTCAACGATATTCAAAAGCAAATATTCGATCGTTAGATGCAAGAAAATTCAATCACGGTATCATAATGACAACGTAGACACATACATAAAATGATGTACCACGTTCAATCGTTATAATTATATTTAAGATAATGTAAAACGAAGACGACCGGTTAAGATTAGGCCGGTCGCGTTAAATCTTCCTTTTTTCTTTTTCCCTGTTCGTTGTTTGGAATTAGGCGTGCTTGCAGAGCTTCTTCCCCCCGCCCCCGCCCCCGATGAGCGCGCCACCCCCACGAGGATCCAGCAATCTCACGTACTCGAACCCGCCGAGCCCGGAACCAGTTTGCGAGCGCGAGCGCAGAGGAAGCAAGCGCCGCGAGCACTCGATGCACAGATACGCGTAAGGACACGCCAACCGCTGCTGCGCACCGCCGCCGAATCGAAGGTACGCGACAACTGTTCGCCACTGTTGAGAAATCGAGAGATCCTTCGGCATTCTCGCACGTCCCTTCCCCAATCTTCCACTTTGTACTCGATTCTTGCAACGATCCTCTCGAGAAAAAAAAAAAAAAGAAAAGAAAAAGAAACATACACGGCGATGGATGTGTGAAGGAGGTGGCGTGGAAAAGGTTCACCGGAAGGAGGAGGAAGAAGAGGAAGGAGACGAATCGACGACGAGTTTCTGCGCGAGATCGAGGGAAATTTTTCGTTGGCGCCAAAACTCGCTCTACCTCTCTCTCTCTCTCTCTTTCTCTCTATCTTTCGAGCGGTCCAATTAGAAAAGAAGAGAAGAAAGAAAAAAAAAAGAAGAATAGCGAGATCGCGTGGATATATACGAAGCCAACTCGGTTCTCGATCTCAAAATGGAAAAATCTTTCTCGACGAGCACTGCCATTCGCGCACTTTCCAAGCGTATGTTATACATACATATATATATATACCCGTAGAGTAGAGGCGTACACCGTCGAGTGGCGCGCACAAGAGGGACGACTCGACTCGACTATCTACTCGTAAGGTAGGAAACGCGTAACCGGAGTTGTAACTACAATTGGCATATCAGTTTAACGGCAACGCGCTGCCGCCGAGAGACGACGACTCCTCTCTGGAAATTCGCCCGGCAACAGGCTTCTCTTCCCCGCCTTCAACACGCCGCTGGAAATCGAAGCCTCGAAACGATGCGCCCACGATGCCATCTCTATTTTCTGCCAATTTTAATGGCAGGATGGATAAGAAGGATAATAATACAGGTACAGGTGTTTGTCATAACGCGGACTCGACTTCGCTAGGTTAAAGTGTCTGGATGATCTAGAAATTTCGAAAATAGATAGATCAGGCTACCAGTCTTTACCAGAGTTGCTTTTCAATTTCATTTCGAAGAGAAATATTAAGAACCACGTGATTCTAATTCCATATAGGAATGTTTTAACCAAGGAGGGAAGAGCGTCGATGCAAAAATATTCGTGAGGATTCGTGAGAAAAACGATCCTTGTCACAATCAATCCAAGATTTCGTCGCGATTTTATAAATATCGATCGCAATACTTTTCTTCCTCCGTAATAAACGATACGATAAAATATAATATTTTCTTACGAAGAATTTTTTCAAGATTTTAAAAAATATATCCCGTTCTTTTGGGAGAAGAAGTCTCCCAAAACTCGTTACGTTTTTAATTACGAATCCTTCCACGCAAACTCGACGCGCAATACAACTCTCCCTACAATAAATTCGAGATCCGCACATGTTCCAACCGACTTACTTTTCATATACTCGTCAGGGATTAAACGAGGCTTCGATTTCACGGTCACGTCGAAATTTTCGTCGAAATATTCTTTTTCCAAAAAAAAAAAAAAAGAAAAAGAAAGAAAAAGAAAAAAAAACAGCGCCGTTTCTCAAACAACCTTTCTCTTCTCTTCCGCCGAGATGAACTCTTCCCCCCCACTGTGCTGGGGAAACACGCGCGAAAAAGTTATCCCGCAACCATTCCTCCATCCCTTCCTAAATTCCAAAACTCGGAGGGAGTTACACAAGGTTTAGAAGCCGGGGGTGGAGGAAAAAAGAGGAGGGAAAGGGGGAAGAGGGCGGAAGGTAAAGAGAGTCATATTTTTCGTTGATACTGCCTCGCGTGTTCTTTCCAACGTTTTCCCCGCCCGCTGCCACATTTCTTCCGCGTCGGTAAAAAGCGCGAGCCGCGTTTAGCAGCTTCGTTAGGGAGGCTGCCGCGTTCCTCCTTACCGGGAGGGGGAAGGGAATCCAGAAGAAATTGCGACTCGCGCGTTTCCGCGCTGGAAAAGAAAGAAAAAAGAAAAGAGAAAAGAAAACGCGATAAGGAAGGAAGGAAAACCGATCCGCGAGAGAAGGATTTCCAGAAGGAGTCGCGCGTGGTTTAATGGTTTCGTGTGTACGACGCGCATGTGCGAGCGGATCGAGCTCGCTATCGATTCGTGGTTAGCGATGAAAGGGATTTAAAGAAAAGAAAAAAAAACTGTTGGACGAAGAGGAAGAAAAAGAAGAAGAAGAAGAAGAAGAAGAAGGAAAAAGCCCTTCACTTTCCCTTCTTTCTTTCTTCTCTTCGTTCCGATAAGATATTTATTCGATGGCGCGACTTGATAATTAATTACCGGTTAATTGTCTCCGGTAGTGCGGAGTATAATAATCCAGGTGACGGTGAGGGGGGGGGGAAAGAAAGAAAGAAAGAAAAAAAAGAGAAAGGGACGTCAGGTATTGTCGTGGCACAGGAACGAGGTTGGGAAGAAAGGAGAGACGGGAACGCGTGTGGAAGATCGACGCGGTGATATCGAACGGTAGCCGTTTAAGGGAAGGGAGAGGGAAGAAAGGTACAGGTTTCAGGGGGAAGGGAGAAAAGATTTGTGGGGAAATGGAGAGAACGTTAGCGAGCTTCGATCCCCGCCTCACACACAAGACTGACGTCAGATAAATAATTGAATATCCCGATATTGTGCTATGTAATACGCGCAGATAGTGTACACGCGCGCATGCGCTCGTATTTCGTCGTATTATTTATTATATATATATATATCGCGGCATACACAGCGCCCCGTAAACGGATCTTTAATTTATATACGTATTATACGTACACGCGTATATATATACATATGTATATGCGAGGGATGAAAGAAGAAGAAGAAAAAAAATATATATATATATTATAAATAGATATATAAATACAACAAAGATAACGCGGTAATTATATCGTGCGTCGGTGAATTTTAAGCGTAATAATATAACGATATATATATATATATTGTATAAGCCCAACTTTATTTCTCTATCACTACCGACATCGCCTTCATGCAACGAAGGAAAAAAAAGAAAAAGAAATCGAGGGATTTAACCGACGTAATAAGGAATCGACAATACAGGGATAAGACAACAATAATTAAATACATGTGTACGTAAATGACGAAGATTAAAAAAAAAAAAAAAAAAAAAAAGAAAAAAAAAAGAGAAATAACGCGAGGAATAATGGTAAATAGATAGACACCGTGTTTCACGAAGCGAGGATGGAGAGAAACCGACCACATTGTGATATATTAAGAAAACTAAATAATAAAGTAAATCGATCGAACAAACGAAGGGACGAGACAAAATTTACGCGAGCTTTCGTCGAGGAGAAGGCTATTCGTTGAGAATTTCACGACACCCCCCAATTTCTCACTTCCCTATTTTATTCGAACGATCCTCGAGACGTGTATAGAACGCTTGCAAAATATACATATTTATATATATATATATATATATTTTCGATTTACACACAGACACACACACACACGCGTACACTTTATAACATACATCTCCTTTACCTTGTTACCGAAACGAAAGATCGTCTTTAACGAGATTGTTCAACGAAAAGCTCCTCTCACTCTCTGGACACGCGCGTGTAGCAGCATCTGACAACGATCGGGAAAAACTTTATCTATGTATATTTAGTGTTTAATCGTCGCCACCGTAGAAAGGTAAACCGTAAGAGTGACAGCTTCGAGTGCTTCGAGTGTAAATATAACCGTTAGGGACCTCGTGACACACGTACAACACGTACACACTCTCTCACCTATACACACACACACACACACCTTTCAAGCGCCTTAAGGTTGGGGGGGAGGGGGGGAGGGGGAGGGGCACTGAGCAAATAAAATTGGTCGCAATAATAATCGTCGTTTTCTTGCTCGCTCTTTCAGTCGTTGTTGTCTTTTACCTTTCATTTTTATCAATGACGAAAGATCGAAGGGGAAAAAAGAATTGTAATAACATATATATATATATATAAAATGGTGGTTCGACGAGAAAAAAATAATAGAGGAGAAAGGAGAGAAAGAAAGAGAGAGAATTATCCTTTCAAGCTTCTCTTTCTCTCGCCCTTAAATTCGTCGCAACGATGAGAAAGTTTTCATCGCAACGCGCGCGATCTTTTCGATCTTCGTTACATCATGGATCGTTCTGGATCGCGTCGACAGGGAAAACGGAGATCCCTTATCGCGGAGCAATTTTTCACCAAACTTCTGCAATAACCGAGCATTAAGTACCTTGAACTTCTCGTGCACTTCCGGCACTCAGCTCTTTCGAATAATCGTCAATTTATCTTAAAGCGTGCACAGACGGTGAAAGGGAACACGATTCGTTAAAGAGGGATTAAATCAATAACTCGGTGAGAATCGAAGAAGCTTTTCGCAGATTCGGTGATAAAAAGTAGAAGAGGAAAAAGAAAAAAGGGGTATATATAAAAAGTGAAAAATAAAAGAACGGGTGAGCGAAAGAGGATCGTCGTTAAGTAAGGTGCTCACACACTCCCTTTCTCTCTCTCTCTCTCTCTCTTCTCTTTAGGATACGAGTAGGAAGATAAAGATGACGAAGGACGGTACTCTCGTGCCTGCTCGCAAGCGTACTTCTTAGGATACTTTATGGTTCCTTTGTGCAGCGGAACTGCTGCATGCTGCCGACATGTCAATGACAACGGTGCGCGCCGAGTGTGCACCGAGATCGTCGCGATATCGCACGCTCGTTCTAAATCGTCCCTCCAACTTCTCCACACCGGCCTTATTCACCCGCGTTTTATTAAACTCTACACTCTCTCTCGCGAACGAGACTCGCGTTTTATCCCCGGATACACTCTCTACATCATCCACCGCGATTTCACCTCGCACGGGCGATAATTCTTCCCGAGATCGTAATAATCGCGGGCGAAACGAGTCGTTGGACGATCTCCCATCCGCTATTCGCGAGATTAGATGTCGTTTTTTCTCATTGAATCTCCCGCTAATTGCTCAAATTTTTACACGTAAACAGCACGAAGAATCAGGAGTTGTGCTCCTTTCTTTTCCACCACTGCCTTACGCGTAACACTAACGTGTCTTTGGAAATTCCAGTTCACGGATGAATACACAGAGTATCGTCTAAAAGAGAATTAGAATTCTTCTCCGATCTCGACGATCTTCCTCCCGATTTTCGATCGAATCCATACGATTACCATACCGCCGCGACTCCTGTTTCCTGTGGCGCGCCCTTTTACGAGCCCGTGATCTTTTATTCCGCGCCGATGCGATACACGGTTCGGCGATATCGTTCGCAGATACGGTTGGCGATCGGTTCTGCGTCGTTGGCAGAGGAAACTTGGCGTCCATAAATCAGGGACGTTACAACCCTTTTTTTCGATGAGAAATGCGAGGGAGGCTCGACGATAGCGAGGGGAAGGGAAACTGGCCCGTTTCTTATTCGGCGATGTACGAGTGCGTGCGATCAGGGAGGATTAAAGTGAGAAGAAAGTGGAACGAGCTTTGGAGCAGGTATTGTGCAACAACGGTGGATAGATCTTTTGCAAAAGTGGTGGTATCTCGGTCGTGGTGGAGAACGGAGATGAAGTTATACGTCGATTCGATGGATTGGTGGTTAAATGGTGTGAAGGCAATTGTTTTGTCGAATTGGGATTTTGGAAGATGTAATTTAGAGGGAAGGAGTAAGAATTCAAGTGAAATTTATCTATTTTATTTTGCTATTGCGAATTAGGCTTGTGTATATGGTGAATAACAGTTTAGAAGAATAACTCGAAGATATACGATCAGTCGTCTTTACGAAAATTTGTTCAACAGTGTGTGTGTGTGTATAATAACGTATAGAGTAATTTTTTTTATTAACACTTATTGATATTCGTGAATGATGAAAATTTGAAGAACGTTAATTTCACGAACGCGAAGAGATTTTGTACGAGGATTATTTATACGCGACTGATGTATATATCTTCGTATAGTAAAAGGTATCAATTGATATCTTGTGATCTTGTGAAACTATAACGATAGTAGGTGCAATTGGATAATAGTTGGACGTCGATCTCGGTCTACTACTAGTTCTCGGTCAAATCGAAACTCCATGGAGACGAACGCTCGTTCGTCGATATCTCTGAATAAAATATAAAACGAGAACGCCTCTCGGTGAGAAGTTGTTGGATTGACCTGAGCTACCTCGTCATTCGGCATCGATCGTGCAAATATGACCGATGTTGGGTATTTACACGCAGCTGCACAAGCACACGCGAAACGCGGCGAGCATGCACGAGAATTTTGGAAATAACAACAAGAACAACAACAACAACGATCGTGTTTATATATATATATATATCATAGTTTTTAACAGGGACGACGATTCTACTGATATACATATATACATATTGTATTCTCGCCACCCCGAAACTAATAAACGCGCCGCATTATCTCTCAATATGTATATAGCGATTGTAATTTATACAAAAAGAAAAAAAAAGAATATGTGTAATAACGTATTATAAATAAGCCTGTCGAGACACACGGAAGACGCGACCACTTTTGTACATAACATTGTAACATATAGCGGTTAAAGTGTAAGAGAGGAAACAAGTGAGAGTGCAGCGAAGGAGAGGGTGAAAATTTGCATTTAAGAATAAGGCGCGGAATGAGTGAATAAGGCGAGGAATGGAGGAATTAATAATAACGATGAAAACGAAAAAAAAATAATAATAATAATTAATAATAATAATTAATAATAATTAATAATAATAATAATAATAATATTAATAATATTAATAATAAAAAGATACCACTGTGAGTGTAATTATAATTGATCAATAGTAATAACGAATACCGGATGCATATTTGATATTTGTGTGCCTGTATCCTTTTGTATGCTAACGAGATAGAACGAAAAATAAAACTATACATATTATATTGTACTAATTGCGACGTAGAGGGGGAAAAGAAAAAAAATAATAATAACTACGAGTAAACGAGGTGTAATGTGCACACACGAATACGCGTGGTAACACGTACACACGGGAAAACACACCCTTCCAAGTTGCATATACACACAGAGAAGAGACACAGACACAGAGACTATCTGTCCTGGGTTGGACGAAAATAAAACTTTTAGCGAAGCGAAATCGAGTCTATAAATATCCGGCAGGATCCAATGACGATTCGTTTTATCCCTGATTTATAGATCCATTCCTTTTCCTCCCTTTCTCTTTCTTTCTTTTTTTTTTTTTTGACGCTATTTTCTCGTTAACGCCATTATTAATTCCATAACTTGTCGACGTTTCGATGACGTTGAAGTTTCATCGATCTTTTTTGCCAAAATCGTGTCGAGGTAAATTTAATTTACTTTTCGAGGAATCTTCTTTTTTTATACACGAATATTTTCTACCGATCTCGACGCGACACGAGAAACGTCTTGGACACGAGAGACGTCGAAACAAAGATCGATACCCAATCGAGTAACATTTCTGTCCCGATTGAATCCACGATTAAATCCCCGCAGAGATTAGAAATCAACCGGGCAAAATTACGTAGTACTATATTTGAAGCAATCACGCCACAGGATTAATTATAGGAAACGAATGCAGGAAATCCGGTTGATCGAATTATCAGGATTTCATCAAGGCGGGGGGATATCAACGACAGGCAAGGTATACGTGGCCGATCGAGCGTGGACTCATCGGAAGCTAATTACCAGGTAATAGTACGATAATCCGGCTACCCGATGGCCGAATGCGGAACCGATCGAGCTTCCGTAAATGCTGCTTAACCTTAATGAATGGATACGCGTTGAAAGCGTATTCGAACTCTTCGATTATTATTGCCTCGGCTATCATCTCCACGAACCTCGACGAATCCTTCGATCCTCGTTCGAGGGAGAGGAAAAAAAGGAAGAAAAAAAACTCACGGACGTGCACGGGGGAGAGATTAAAACGTGGCGTGGAAAACGTGGCGGAAGATAATAAGGGTGGAAGGTAATAACCGGGAGAAAAGTCGGATGTATCATGGATCCAGAGGCCACCGTCGCAAAAATTGTCCGCTGCAAACGATCCCGCGCGACCTTTGGGAGAGATTTTACAAGCGGGACCGATGTACCCGCCGCCTCGTGACACCCATCCACCACGAGTCCACCGGTGTGGCTGGGTGTACTCCTTTCATCGCGCTAATTTGGCACCGTCAACGACCGTCATTTGTCATTCTAATGGCCAGAAAACGAAGGGCCACGCGGTTTTTAATGACTGCAAACCGACACACAACGCGACGCACACCACCTCGCGCTTTTCCTCCTCTTTAATTCGCTCCTCGACAACTCGCTCTTCACGCTCCATCGTCCGCGTGTTCCCTTCCATTTCGTTTCCCCATCCTTTCTCCATTCTTCTTTTTTCTCTCTTCTCTTCTTCCTCCTCTCCCCGCTGCTCGTTCATTCAGGTATTTTCTTTCATCGAGGAAGCGAGCGCGCAAAGACGAGCCCGATATGCCTCTCCCCCCCTTCCTCCATTCTCCCTTTCTTCCCTTCCCCTTTGAGCTCTTACATTCATCCTTTTTGCACACCGCTCCCTTTCAACGTTTTCGCGTTTCAGAATCCTAACCCCCTCCCTCCACTCCACCCCCACGGGCGGTCTTAAATCCTAGAACGCGAAACGGTAAGATGCACGGCGTGTTTAAAAATGTATTCTTCCCAAACGTTGAACGCGTATACACACGTTCCGAGTTATATCCCCGCTGCCCCTTTGCCTCGCCCCGCGCCTGTTAATTAATTCCCGCGGTTATTAGTGCTCGTTACTTCCCTTAAGCCGCCGCCGCCGCCGCCGCTCCCTCTTTGTCCGCCAAACGCCTCTCCCTACCCTCCACCCTTTCTTTTATTCTTTAATTCGTTATCCGAGACGAGGATATAAATTTCACCGGGGATGGTAATTATTCCGTATTCCAAGAGAGAGCTTGGCCAACGTTGGGAATCGTACTACTAATTGCGGTTCAGTGGCCGCTGCCACTGGATTTTCGGCGAAAAACGGAACGAGGCCTCATCGTTTCTCGAGGATAACCGTTATCGTAACTCGTCGTGGTTCGCGACGCGAGGACTACTCCTCGTTCAGGAATATTTTTCCCATCGGCGAACAGAAGACCAGTTTGGAAATGGCGTTCTTCTTTATCGCAATAAATAATTTATCACTGGAATAAATCGAATTTGAATTGAGAATCGGCGTAATCAAATACGAAAGTGCAAATTAAATTTATGCGTTTCGCAAGCGATCATTTCATGTTTTTTTCCTTTTAACGAAGATTAGAATCGGTAGGAATTAATTTGAAGGCAGAGCGAGGGAACGATTTGTCACGACAACGTGGCAACGATAAAAGGTTTCCCTCGGAATGCCGTGTTAGAATTGGCGTTACAATACGTCATTTCGGTTCGCGTTAACGCACCCACATCTGTTGGAAATAAATCGGCGGACCATTTCTTAGATGGAAGGTTTCACAAATAACCGGTTGTGGTAACAATCGGCTGGTTCACCTGAGAATGACGAAAAGGTGGGCCCGTTAATGCGTTCCTGCGCGCAACCCTCTAACGGCCGCCATTATTGTTTCCCATCCATCAAGCGGCTCCAACTCCACGGCAAATAGTATATATGTATATGTGTATATATATATATATATGGGCCGGGACGAAAATGTTGCCACGTCACATCCGAAATTACGGTCGAATTCGAAGAAAGGCATCCGTGATGGCGATGATTGCTTTTGTGCCACGAATAGTTCCGCTCTCGAGGAGCTGTTATCAGGGGCGCCCTAATTTCACTCGCGATTAGACATTTCGCGGAAAAATTCACCGATTATCGAATCCCCTTTTTCGGAAAATTTAAGCGGAATTAGGATAATGTAGCTGCGTTAAAGGATAACGGGGAAGAAAGTATTCGAAATTAAAAGTATCGACGTTGAATAAAAATATGCTTCGATATTTTCATCCTTTTATTAAATAGATATCAATTTGGATTTTAAGTAAATCTCTGTATTAAAGTTAAGAAAATTTTAAACGAAAGATAATGGCTTTCTTCTGATTGATGAATGAAAAATCATCAGAAGGGTGGATGATCTTTCCCCTTAAAACGTTTTTTCATTTATCTCGATATAATTTCTAGTTTTCGAGATAACGTCGCGCGAAGAAAAGAGTAATTTTTGATCGTTTGTTATTTTTCTCGCTCGCATCTGTCCCATTGACCAAACAACAGACACAATTCATAGAAGAACGTAGTACGCGTTTGCAAGAAAAAATGTAGGTCACTGGGTCGTAATCTCTCGTTCATAATCTCTGCCCTAGTTTAAGCGCTTTGGAAACTTTGAGTGCTTGTATCTCGGCAACCGATTTAGATATCGAGAACAAAACAAAAGAAAAAAAAAAAAGAAAAGGATTTCAATGATACTCTTTCGCTCTTGATTCCTTGAGCAACCTTCGACGAACGACGATTTCTTCGAAGAAAATCAAAGTTTCATTTCTAATTTTTCGTGAAAATAAATATTCTATTGGACGATATTAAATTATATTTAACAAATAATCAAAAAAAATTAACCTGTGCATAATCTCAGGCAAATAGAAATCAAAGTATATCCACGGAATAGGATAGGCGTAACTCGAGCAGGTGGAAAGAAGGAAAGAGACAATCTGGATGGAAAATAGGAATCATGTGGTGCGCGTTGAACTATGACAACCCACGTATCCACGAGATTTCTGGCACGATAAAGCGAGCTTTACCGTGACCCCAGGCTAACAGGTAACTACGTTAGCCGCAAGTAAATCCAGAGACCACCGCTGCCCATGGCGGAACTTTACGAACCGGATGCCAACCGAGGGGTTTAACAATCGCGTGCCCCTGGAATTCTGCGCGCACGGTTGAACGAATACACGCCGTAACCACGAACGGAATCGCGGGGAGTCGACGCATGACCTGCGAAGCGAATACGATTCCGGTCTCTAAAGTTCTCGAAAAGCTCGAAAATTACGGTTATCCAGGAATTCGTTTCTACCAAAGGAATTTTTGAAGATAACTTTCCACTGTAACTTATGGATAACTTTGGAAATGCAGGAAGAAATTTTTTGGAAAAAAGAAACATGTAAATTATTCTTATTATTATTTGTATTTCCGCGAAGAACATTTACACAGATCTTTATTGTATCTAATTTAAATGAAAAAAGAAAAGAATTCTGAAATTTTATATTCGAAATGAACGAATGTAATTGAACGTTGAAACGATGCTAATTGTATATTTTTTCCTCGAAATATGGAGCTTGAGGGAAATATTATCAGAAACTGGCCGTAAATATCACTAATTCGATACGGATTATTCCGATTCCCTCTTCATTACGTTAATTATCGGAAATAAAATAAAACCGATTTGTCGAATTAACGCACACGATGTATTTCGTTGGAACGTGGAATGTGAATAATGAGAACCCGTTGGATTACAACG